CTGTCTTCCTCTCTTTCTATTTATCTATCTATCTATCTCTCTCTCTCTCTCTCTCTCTCTCTTTCACTCTCTTTCTCTCGCTCTCTTTCTCTCCCTTTCTTTCCCTTACTTGCTCGTTTTGTCCCGTTAGTCCTCGGCCTTTGCCTTCTCTTACTCGTCTTACTTTGTCTTCGCACACCATAATTACAATAGTCTTTTTTCTTTTTATATATATATATATAATATATATAATATATATCCGTAATCTTATTACATATATACTAGCTGGTTACAATAATTTGTGAAAAATATACATCAAAATTTTGTTACTTTTTACATCACAGATATTTTAATATAATATATCATCTTTTAATTCTTAAAGATTTCTGTTCCTCCCCGTATAATCGACCAATCCGTCACTCGCCGGATTGTTTAGCGTATCGCCCGCGACAAGGGGAGGAACGACGGGATGTACAGACGCGAAGAATTAAAGAATTCTTTTGAATTCTCCGATCGCGAAGAACAAAATTATACTTTGAGGTATCTTTTATGCATACATTTTTTTACTGCTTAGCAGTACAATAATTGCCGTATCTTTCAAAGACAAACAAAATTTGCAAAAGAACACAGCACAAATATCGAAAAGACACTATGAACAGCCATTTAAACGACGTCCTGATGCTTTGAATGTCTTCTAGATGCCTTTCATATTTCTTTTTAGATTTTTTGCATTTTTTTGCATTTTTTTCAGTTTTCTACCAAACTTTTTAGAATTAAACGAGAATTTTCATTGTAACGATGATGCATGGATGTAGATGCATACATAAAAGAAACCTTAACCTCGATATCTCAATAACAGAGAACGATACGATTTCGACGTGAAAGCAGTTTCCGTCGTGTCTTCGTCCCGCCGTTTCTCCCGGAAAGAAAAAAAAACGAAAAGATCGACAGTACTTCAACAATCGCGTCTACAACGGTACCTGGCTAGCCTCGAGCCTTCTCTCATATCCCTTTCCTCGATCACGCGCGTAGCAAATTTCTAGAGAGAGAACGGGAATTCCTCCGTCGATTTTGCTAGAAGAAAGTCGCCAAAAAGATAGACAAATACCTCCCTCGATCGCCGTCAATGATCTCTCCCTTCTCGCGAGGAGGGACGAGATCTTCTCTCGCGTTTCATTATAATTGCTCGTCCGAACGTCGCGATCGCGTTTTATCGCAAAATCGCACGGTGTTTCAATAAATATCACGCTAATGTGAGAATCCTTGACTTTACCGCGAGAGAAAAAGGTAACGTATATACGCGCGTAGTCTGTAGTTAGTCTAGACTGTTACGGCAGACATGTCGACGTGTCGTTGGGAGATCATTATGCGAACGTATCGTCAATTACGCCGTTACCGCGTTGATCATACTAATTGTCGCGACTTAATCGTCCCCATCCTAAACTAAGCGGGCGAGCCTCACGCGTATTATTCTTCAGTCCGCGTCGTCGAAAATGTCGCTTTCTCGATTGTAACGTGCCTTGCACGATTAACGATTGATTTTTAGTACACAATACATTATAGCTTTATTACTTCTTTTTTAATATGTAGAAATAATTAATTTTTACATCTTTATAAAATATAATTGCTTTCAAAAAGATCCTCAATAAATTTACTTTTTAAATTATTATCTTATTCACAAATATTAATTCACTAAATTTCTAAAGAAATACAAAGAGATTCATTATCTAATCTTAATTTAACGCGTTTTTAATTGCAAATTCCAATATATTATATTAACGTTACTCTCTTTTAAGCGGCAAATTTTCCTCTAACTAGAAAATATGTGTAAAATTATAGGTACCGATTGGATAACACATTCTATAGAGAGAAAATCACCAACAATTTGATCGTCATCTATATGCAGAATTTGATCCAATTACGATGGAATACGATGAAAAGGACAGGTATCCGTAGCAACTGCGAATTATTTTCGGCGACGTGGACGTCGAACGCGGATGGTCTCGTTTGTCCCACATTTGCTTGCGCGCTTTCCATCTTCCCTTGGTGTATCACTTTTTCTTTCGCAAAAAGAAGAAAACCGAAAGACGTACTGCGTTGCACCCGATGGATCGTGGAAATTTGAGATCCGCCGATTATAGACCGCACTAAACGTCGCGACGAAACATCATAACCGTAATTGAATTAACGACAATCATAATGTACGCACGTTTTACTATCATCCGCACGATAAATATCATTTTTTTTCACATCTAACGATAAATCTTTCGATAAAGGGTATCGGGCTTGAATTTCTGGGTGTGTCGATGATGCGAATTCGCGGGTATAGGATCGGGTGAGCTCAGGTTGTGGGAGGGTGATAAAGGAGTAAGTGAGTTAGTGATCGGAACAAGTGTATAAACATATTTCCCTCCTTTTCGCATAATAATATGCCTGATGAACGTTTATAGAAAAAGACTTCGAGGCATCGAGGAATATCAGATCACACCGAGTGATTTATATACTTCATCGAGGGTGTGTCTGTGGGGAAGTGAGGAATAGGTGAGGAATAAAGGGAAGAGAGAGATAGGCGGTGATGTGGTAGTGGACAGTTAAAAAGTGACTTAGCGGACACAGGGCGAAGGAAGGTTTAAATTTACGTTTACACACAATCATAATTAGCTTGCATTTCGCTTTGTTGCTGTTCAGCTTGTTTTTTTTTTTAACCCTAAGGAGACCTTAACGTTTACACTCAATAACTTGTTTCCGCGTTTACGCGCGCTTCCTTTAAAGTTACATTATTCACGGTTTTTTTTTTGCTTTAAATAGGGTAAATTTTAAGTTTAGTTCCAAAAAACACCGAGAGAGTAGCCTTGCCTATATGATTTACTTTTTTCGTAGGTATAATTTTTTTTGCATTAATAAGGAATTTTTGCATTTTTAAAACACCGAACATACATGCCTTATACTTTATGTACAGCCTAGAGTCTTTCAGTCGTTACTTTTAAAGAGAGTCATGAGATGAGTGCGTGTGGATCATCCTTTTTCGTTTCTTGCTGCTCTATCTCCTTTTTTCCGTATTTATTCGCGTCGTTTTCCCGCGATTACGCTCGACTATGCGAGAAAAATAGGAAATCCTGGCTCGCACTACAGCACCATTTTAGTTTCTTTGTCGCCGTTTTCTCGCGTTCGTCTGGCCTCCAATCCTTCCTACTTTGATTTTCGTCTCTGTCGATTTCGTCTTGGTCCAACGGCCTGCCTGCTATATTGACGAAATCGTCCTTTCATAGTAATTCTAACCACGGATCTCTCTCTGTGAAACCTAATTTTAATTGAAAGAGAGATAATTGTGCACGTTATTGTATTATCAGAGAAATAAAAAAAATTTCATCCCCTTTAATTGTATTACTTGGATACTTTTATAAAAATATTTCTGAAGAAAATATATACATATAAATTCCAATTAAAATTATCTACAGATTTCAAAATTATTTTCAATATATATATGTAATTAAAATTAAAAATATTTCTAATTCCGAACGACGTGTTTATATTTTAGTTAAATAATCATTTTAATTTAATGTTAAAATTTCAGCATCGTATATCGACATTTGCACCAATTTATTATTTCTTACCACGTTATCGACTATATGGTAAAATTCAGACTTTCATAAAAATGTTGTCAAGAGTTTTTACTTGAATCGTATCCAAAAAACTCTCGAGTATGTTTTTTATATCACAATTGCGAGCGTAATTGGACATGCATAATGAGTGGAATCCACGGAAAACTAAATAAGAGAGATGTGTGGCTGCTCAAAACGTCGATGTTCGTCATTCGATATTCGTATCGTCATTATTTCAAACCGGCGGCGGACGATCGAGACGCGCTTAAAGTCTGCCCAAAATCCGTCCCGACGCGTCACGATGAGTCTGCTAGTTTCTGAATGAATACATCGCTCACGGGAGTCGCAATGTATGAGAAACGAAAACAGAGATTAAAACATTTCTAAGTTTAGTGAGTCTTTTCCCTTGCGAAGAAACGATACAACACTGCCTCCGCTCGCGCTGCTGCACCTGGAGCCTCTTTTTTTCTCTTTTTTTTCTCTCTCTCTTTCCCTCTACGCAGTAGAAAATTTGTATTCGTATCAAAAAGTGGGCGTCTCGCGCTTAAGAAAAACGTCTGCGCTTTCGGTGTCGGAGAAACCGAATCGAGAGCCGGCGCGCGCGCACTGCAACAGTATCCTTTCCTTTCCTATCCCACGTTCTGATTTTGCGTTTGCATCTTTCTAATTCTGCCTGAGTTCGGACCGCGATTTAAATCCCATAGCGCGACGCCAAAGAATCACAATCTTCGTAGTCGTAATTGCTCATCTACAAGAGAATTCTCGAAGAATTGTCTCATTCCTTAAACTTTGTTGCAAAACAGAAGATTAAAGCTAAATATAAAATAATTAAAATAATTAAAGAAGAGGCTTTTGTATTACATTATTTTAACACTACTTCTAATACTTATAAAGTCCTAAAATAGAATTCTTTTACATTTTTTTTAATAAGAAAAACTCAAAGTGTATTTTACGCTTATTTAAAAGATACGATAAGATATTACAAAATATTGGAATTTTTTTACGTCGTTCGTTATACATAAATCCTTCATAAGAAAAGAATTCGATAGATAGATAAATGTTATTACATCAATCGTTCCGATAAAAAGATCACTCGCAACTTTGAAAGCAATTTTCAACAACGAAGATCGCATTCCAGTATTTTCTGCATTCTTCCCATTTTCCTGTGTTCGTACCCGAAACGTGGGACGCGTTCATGTCGAACGCTGGCCTCGAAACAATCGAGATTATAGAAATATTGTCGCCTCGTGAAAAAGAAAAACGTCACCTACGCGCGCCAACAAAAGCCTTGGCTCGTTCTCGCTTCGCACACGTTCGTAATGACCAAAAAATATATGTATATATAATATATTATTCCTTATATAATTATGTCGCTCCTTAGTTAAGTAGTGTTTAATAGTAGATAATAAGTTTTTTTTCTTTTTGCATTAGATAGTTTTACACTCACAGAGGAAAAAATATGCTGTCGCGTCGGCGTTTTGTTCCATCGTTTGACCTTTCGTCGTCGTCCACCGATTGATAGTGGTAGCAGTAATTAATAATTGTAATAATAATCATCGAACGGCTAACATTTTGCGTTGCGTGTGCCCACGCGTGCATCACGACGTCGCGACGAACCTCCTTCGAGAGATGCCAGATCGTGGGACGAACTCGTATCGATCCCGAGTATCTCCGCGTTTATTGTAGAAATGAATTTTGCATTAGCATAAAATATCTCAGAATTCGCGATATAATTTGACGAAATTTGGTGCCGCAGCGCGAAGGTCTAAGGAGATCTCGGCTACGTCGTTGCAACGACACGTGCACGCGCGCAACGCCTAAATATCTCGTTATGTTCCCCATTTTTGTATACTCGCGTATATGTACTTATTCGTGTACATGATGTGGGCATGTGTTTTTTTATGTGTCAACTGTGTGTTGATACTTGTATGTAAGAGAGTCGCGTGGAATGTCGGGCTTGTAGAAACGCGGTCAGAATGGGTCCTTGCGTCGGCTAAAGCGTGTCGCGTGTGAATACTCGGCACGATGAACATGTCGCGTGTGTCTTTTATCCGTTTACGTTTTCGATACACTCCGGTGCGAAATGTACTTTCACCGTAGTCAAAAGGGTTTCCTGCACGCGCGCCTAATACCAGGTTGGCCAGACGGTGGCCAGCCGGACGCGGGTTCGTACGGCGGGTATAGCGCTAACTGGCGGAATTGCAGTGGGTTTATGGTTGGTTGTGCTAGCAATTATGCATCGCCACTTTTTGTTCTCCTCTTCTTGCACTGGACTTGCCTCGCAACGTTCGAGGTTTCTTCCGATTGAAATAGAGAGATCGTGGGGGAGCAGGAGGGGGTCGTGGGATAATCGAGGTACTATATCGCGTCGGCCACGTATCTGAGGATTCCCTTCGTCCCTGTGCTCGAAGCGATCATACAGCGCGAGTAGTTTTCTACTTCTTCTTACATCGTCCCACTTGCCTGGCACATATGTAGACAAGATTGGGAAATTGAGCGAGCGCGAAGGGAAACCCTGTTCGCGGCGCGCAACAACGAGAAGGCGCACGGGTTCGGTGCGTGTGAGAGATCTGGGTGGGAATGTGGGCTTACTGTATATCGGGTCTTTTCTTTTGTTTACTGTACTCATAACTGTATACTTTACTGATAACTGATACTGACTTTCGTCTACTCTACGGAGTCCTCCATGCTGAGCGCGGTGCCGCGCTGCTCCGCTGCCGCCGGCTGCTGACTGTTGGTCGGCTCGCCGGATCTGCTGCTCGCGGTGTTGTAGCCCCTCTGCAGTTGCACGACCAGCCCGCTCACGGCAGCGTACTCCTTTTGTTGTTGCTGCGGCTGAGTTTTCTGGCTCGAATGATCTACTATAAGCTTACTATCACAGGCACTTTTTTTGTCAGTTGACGCGGCGTAGAGGTTGTGTAAGTCCGGGTAATGATTCAGCTGTGGTTGTTGCTGTTGTTGCTGTTGCAAACTCAGAGGCTGCTTCCGGTCGCGATCCTCCTGGCCGCCGTTGTGAACCTCGCGCTCTCTGCTGTTGCGATCGATCCTCGAGTCACGGGTGCTGTCCTCGTCCCTGCTACCCGCTCGGGAGATCGACAGAGGCGTCGGCGGTGACGTCAGCCGATCGCTGCCGTCCTCCGTGCGACCCCTTTCCGATGGTGAGGGGCTGAGATCGACCGTAGGCACGCGCTCCGGTCTCTCTGGCACCATCCTGCCCGTTGGTCCTCGATAACTCTCGTCCTCGCTACTATCTTGCGCCACTCGCGGCAGCGGGGTCCTCCTTGAATTTCTGCAGAGCTGGTCGATCAGTGTCTTGCTGCTCATCGTTTCTGGATGTTGCGACGACGACTGCTGCTGGTTTCTTGCCTCCGCTATCGCCCGCTGGTCCCTTGGAATGCCTGTCTCGAGGCTCGACCTGATCAGATTGTCCAGAAAACTGCCGTTCGCCCCGGGCCCATCGTAAATGCTCTCCACCATATCGCGCGGCGCCTTTGCCATCGAAGCGCTTCGGGAGTTTGAAGTTCCGGCCGCGTCCGCCGTTCCGGATACGCCAACTCCATCTCGATCTCGTTGCTGGTGTTGTTGCTGTACCATCGTGGCGTTTCGTTGTTGCTCCTGCAGTCCGCGCATTCTCTGCGACGCGAAGTATTGTTCCGGAAGGATCGGAACGTTCGGCGCGCCACCCATAAACGGGGAGGGCATGAAGGGTGTCGGGTTCCAGAAGTTGAAGGGCCCGAACGGCAAGTGGGGCATGCCCTCCATGAATGGGGGCATTTTCAGTCCGTTCGGACCGGGTATACCGCCGGGCGGCGTGAACGGTTTTTGCGGCTTTAGCTGCGGCTTCTTATCGACGGCCGCAGTACTCGGCCGCATCGCCGCGGCCGCCGCTGCCGCTGCCGCCGTCGTCGCGGTCTCCTTCGACTTGTCGTCTGGTTGCTTCTGGTCCCTACGAAAATGAGAAAAGACTAGAAACTTTAAACTCCTATTAATAAAGATTTTAATATATAATGATATAATGATAATTAATATATAATGATATAATATAATGATATAATTCACGAGATATCTCTAATTAAAAAAAAAAATATCTCGACAGATTCGAGACTCACTTGTTAGTGTTACATAGATATTTTACCGTTCATAATTAATATGAATTTATAAATTCAGACGAAAAAGCAAAAAAAAAATAAGAAACCTATTATCAAAAAATCACCTTACCTTTTGCGCGGCCTCATAAGATGCCGCTCCTTGACTTTGTACTCAAGGGTGGAGTGCGGAACTCCGTAAAAGCTGCCAGCACGATGCACGCTCATCTCGCCGCGCTGAACCGCGCGTACCGCCTCGACGAGGCTGTCCCTGTCGTAGTTCCTGTACTTGCCGCGCTTAGGTCTGGTGCCTTTGCCGCCGGTGCCAGGTTTTGGTTTGTTCGCTTCCTGCGTCTGCTGCTTGGTTTGCTGTTGTTGCTGCGCCGATGACTGCTGCTGCTGCTGCTGCTGCTGCTGCTGTTGCTGCGGCGGCTGAGGAGGTGTGTAACGACCTCTCTTAAATGGACTTGGATCCGTCATCATGGCCTGCTGCGATGGAACCACGCCAGTCGGTTGGCAACCCGGTATGCCAGGCGCGCCGGGCGTCTGACCCTCTTGGAACTTGACGCTAATGCTCTTGGCGATGACGTCGCGGAAATTGACGGCCACCGCTTTGCCCACCAGCGAATTCGTGGGGCTGCTGGTGCCGGAGAACGCTGGACTAGCTCGCTCCAGGAGACCCGGACTCGAGGCGGCAGCCGCGAAGCTCTGGGCGAACGCGGCGGAAGTCGGCTCGCCATTCTTGCTGGAACAACCCGGCGTACTGGCGGGCTTATAGGACGGAATCTTCAGTATCGCTCTGCCCTGAGCACTATCGCTGGCTTCTTCCTCGATGTTGGGATTGAAGTCGTCGTTAGTCATAGGTGCGCGCTGCTGCGACTGTGCTTGCTGATGTGCGGCGAGAGGATGGTGTTGCTGATGATGATGCGACTGCGACTGGTCTCCATTCACATTCTTATTCAGCCTCTTATCCTCGCTCATCAGCTTCCTCATTACTTCGGGTATGCGGTAATCTCGCGTATCCATGCCTACGTTATTATTATAATTTCTGTAGTAGAGGTTCATAAAAATTTATATGATATGATCGAAAGTACGCAAATATCTCTACCGTCTAACTGAACAATAAGACAAACATATTCGAAGAGAGATCTTTCATTTCCTACATTTATATATATATATATATATATATATATATATATATATATATATAAT